CTGTAACCAACTTAGCCACAGCGCCGATACGTGCTAACAATCTTTTGGGTTTCGAAAGCAAAAATGTATCTTCCAGACCATGAGACAAAATACAGGAATAAGGGATTTTCATAAAGGCGCTGCAAAGATTCGAATTTAGGATCTCCTGTTTACTATACAGTAACTTTAACCAAATAAGCCACAGCGCAGATACGTGATAACAATCTTTTAGGGTTTCGAAAGAAAAAATTGATCTTCCAGACCATGAGACAAATTACAAGAATAAGCCATTTTCACAAAGGCACTGCTGAGATTCGAACTCAGGATCTCCTGTTTACTAGACAGGCGCTTTGACCAACTAAGCCACAGCGCCGATACGTGCAAACAATCTTTTAGGGTTTCGAAAGCAAAAATGTATCTTCCAGACCATGAGACAAAATACAAGAATAAGCCATTTTCAAAAAGGCACTGCTGAGATTCGAATTTAGGATTTCCTGTTTACTAGACAATCGCTTTAACCAACTAAGCCACAGCGCCGATACGTGCAAACAATCTTTTAGGGTCTCGAAAGCAAAAATGTATCTTCCAGACCATGAGACAAAATACAAGAATAAGCCATTTTCAAAAAGGCACTGCTGAGATTCGAATTTAGGATTTCCTGTTTACTAGACAATCGCTTTAACCAACTAAGCCACAGCGCCGATACGTGCAAACAAATCTTTTAGGGTTTCGAAAGCAAAAATGTATCTTCCAGACCATGAGACAAAATACAAGAAAAAGCAATTCTCATGAAGGCGCTGGTAAGATACGAACTCAGGATCTCCTGTTTACTAGACAGGCGCTTTAACCAACTAAGCCACAGTGCCGATACGTGCTAACAATCTTTTAGGGTTTCGAAAGCAAAATGTATCTTCCAGACCATGAGACAAAATACAGGAACAAGCGATTCTCATGAAGGCACTGCTAAGATTCGAATTTAGGATTTCCTGTTTACTAGACAGTCGCTTTAACCAACTAACCACAGCACCGATACGTGCTAACAATCTTCTAGGGTTTCGAAAGCAAAAATGTATTTTCCAGACCATGAGACAAAATACAAGAATAAGCCATTTTCATAAAGGCACTGCTGAGATTCGAACTCAGGATCTCCTGTTTACTAGACAGGCGCATCAACCAACTTAGCCACAGCGCCGACACGTGCTAACAATCTTTTAGGGTCTCGAAAGCAAAAATGTATCTTCCAGACCATGAGACAAAATACAAGAATAAGCCATTTTCAAAAAGGCACTGCTGAGATTCGAATTTAGGATTTCCTGTTTACTAGACAGTCGCTTTAACCAACTAAGCCACAGCGCCGATACGTGCAAACAAATCTTTGAGGGTTTCGAAAGCAAAAATGTATCTTCCAGACCATGGGACAAAATACAAGAAAAAGACATTCTCATGAAGGCGCTGGTAAGATACGAACTCAGGATCTCCTGTTTACTAGACAGGCGCTTTAACCAACTAAGCCACAGTGCCGATACGTGCTAACAATCTTTTAGGGTTTCGAAAGCAAAATGTATCTTCCAGACCATGAGACAAAATACAGGAACAAGCGATTCTCATGAAGGCACTGCTAAGATTCGAATTTAGGATTTCCTGTTTACTAGACAGTCGCTTTAACCAACTAACCACAGCACCGATACGTGCTAACAATCTTCTAGGGTTTCGAAAGCAAAAATGTATTTTCCAGACCATGAGACAAAATACAAGAATAAGCCATTTTCATAAAGGCACTGCTGAGATTCGAACTCAGGATCTCCTGTTTACTAGACAGGCGCATCAACCAACTTAGCCACAGCGCCGACACGTGCTAACAATCTTTTAGGGTCTCGAAAGCAAAAATGTATCTTCCAGACCATGAGACAAAATACAAGAATAAGCCATTTTCAAAAAGGCACTGCTGAGATTCGAATTTAGGATTTCCTGTTTACTAGACAGTCGCTTTAACCAACTAAGCCACAGCGCCGATACGTGCAAACAAATCTTTGAGGGTTTCGAAAGCAAAAATGTATCTTCCAGACCATGGGACAAAATACAAGAAAAAGACATTCTCATGAAGGCGCTGCTAAGATACGAACTCAGGATCTCCTGTTTACTAGACAGGCGCTTTAACCAACTAAGCCACAGCGCCGATACGTGCAAACAATCTTTTAGGGTCTCGAAAGCAAAAATGTATCTTCCAGACCATGAGACAAAATACAAGAATAAGCCATTTTCAAAAAGGCACTGCTGAGATTCGAATTTAGGATTTCCTGTTTACTAGACAGTCGCTTTAACCAACTAAGCCACAGCGCCGATACGTGCAAACAAATCTTTTAGGGTTTCGAAAGCAAAAATGTATCTTCCAGACCATGAGACAAAATACAAGAAAAAGCAATTCTCATGAAGGCGCTGCTAAGATACGAACTCAGGATCTCCTGTTTACTAGACAGGCGCTTTAACCAACTAAGCCACAGCGCCGATACGTGCTAACAATCGTTTAGAGTTTCGAAAAAAAAAAAATCTTCCAGACCATGAGACAAAATACAGGAATAAGGGATTTTCATATAGGCGCTGCTGAGATTCGAATTTAGGATTTCTTGTTTACTAGACAGTCGCTTTAACCAACTAAGCCACAGCGCCGATACGTGCAAACAAATCTTTTAGGGTTTCGAAAGCAAAAATGTATCTTCCAGACCATGAGACAAAATACAAGAAAAGCAATTCTCATGAAGGCGCTGCTAAGATTCGAACTCAGGATCTCCTGTTTACAAGACAGGCGCTTTAACCAACTAAGCCACAGTGCCGATACGTGCAAACAATCTTTTAGGGTCTCGAAAGCAAAAATGTATCTTCCAGACCATGAGACAAAATACAAGAATAAGCCATTTTCAAAAAGGCACTGCTGAGATTCGAATTTTGGATTTCCTGTTTACTAGACAGTCGCTTTAACCAACTAAGCCACAGCGCCGATACGTGCAAACAAATCTTTTAGGGTTTCGAAAGCAAAAATGTATCTTCCAGACCATGAGACAAAATACAAGAAAAAGCAATTATCATGAAGGCGCTGCTAAGATACGAACTCAGGATCTCCTGTTTACTAGACAGGCGCTTTAACCAACTAAGCCACAGTGCCGATACGTGCTAACAATCTTTTAGGGTTTCGAAAGCAAAAATGTTTCTTCAAGACCATGAGACAAAATAGAAGAAAAAGTGATTCTCATGAAGGCACTGCTAGATTCGAACTCAACTTTAACCAATTAAGCCACAGCGCCGATACGTGCTAACAATCTTTTAGGGTTTCGAAAGCAAAATGTATCTTCCAGACCATGAGACAAAATACAGGAACAAGCGATTCTCATGAAGGCACTGCTAAGATTCGAATTTAGGATTTCCTGTTTACTAGACAGTCGCTTTAACCAACTAACCACAGCACCGATACGTGCTAACAATCTTCTAGGGTTTCGAAAGCAAAAATGTATTTTCCAGACCATGAGACAAAATACAAGAATAAGCCATTTTCAGGCACTGCTGAGAAAAGGCACTGCTAAGCCACAGTGATTAACAAAGGGTTTAGGCAAAAATTTCCTGTTTACTAGACAGTCGAGGACTGTTTCAACTTTAACCAACTAAGCCACAGCGCCGATACGTGCAAACAAATCTTTTAGGGTTTCGAAAGCAAAAATGTATCTTCCAGACCATGAGACAAAATACAAGAAAATGACATTCTCATGAAGGCGCTGCTAAGATACGAACTCAGGATCTCCTGTTTACTAGACAGGCGCTTTAACCAACTAAGCCACAGCGCCGATACGTGCAAACAATCTTTTAGGGTTTCGAAAGCAAAAATGTATCTTCCAGACCATGAGACAAAATACAAGAATAAGCCATTTTCAAAAGGCACTGCTGAGATTCGAATTTAGGATTTCCTGTTTACTAGACAGTCGCTTTAACCAACTAAGCCACAGCGCCGATACGTGCAAACAAATCTTTTAGGGTTTCGATAGCAAAAATGTATCTTCCAGACCATGAGAGAAAATACAAGAAAAAGCAATTCTCATGAAGGCGCTGCTAAGATACGAACTCAGGATCTCCTGTTTACTAGACAGGCGCTTTAACCAACTAAGCCACAGCGCCGATACGTGCTAACAATCGTTTAGAGTTTCTAAAAAAAAAAATCTTCCAGACCATGAGACAAAATACAGGAATAAGGGATTTTCATATAGGCGCTGCTGAGATTCGAATTTAGGATTTCTTGTTTACTAGACAGTCGCTTTAACCAACTAAGCCACAGCGCCGATACGTGCAAACAAATCTTTTAGGGTTTCGAAAGCAAAAATGTATCTTCCAGACCATGAGACAAAATACAAGAAAAAGCAATTCTCATGAAGGCGCTGCTAAGATTCGAACTCAGGATCTCCTGTTTACAAGACAGGCGCTTTAACCAACTAAGCCACAGTGCCGATACGTGCAAACAATCTTTTAGGGTCTCGAAAGCAAAAATGTATCTTCCAGACCATGAGACAAAATACAAGAATAAGCCATTTTCAAAAAGGCACTGCTGAGATTCGAATTTAGGATTTCCTGTTTACTAGACAGTCGCTTTAACCAACTAAGCCACAGCGCCGATACGTGCAAACAAATCTTTTAGGGTTTCGAAAGCAAAATGTATCTTCCAGACCATGAGACAAAATACAAGAAAAAGCAATTATCATGAAGGCGCTGCTAAGATTCGAACTCAGGATCTCCTGTTTACTAGACAGGCGCTTTAACCAACTAAGCCACAGTGCCGTACATTTTTGCTTTCAAACCCTAAAAGATTTGTTTGCACGTATTTAGCTATGGCTTAGTTGGTTAAAGCGACTGTCTAGTAAACAGGAAATCCAAATTCGAATCTCAGCAGTGCCTTTTGAAATGGCTTATTCTTGTATTTTGTCTCATGGTCTGGAAGATACATTTTTGCTTTCGAGACCCTAAAAGATTGTTTGGCACGTATCGGCACTGTGGCTTAGTTGGTTAAAGCGCCTGTCTTGTAAACAGGAGATCCTGAGTTCCGACCTTAGCAGCGCTTCATGAGAATTGCTTTTTCTTGTATTTTCTCTCATGGTCTGGAAGATACTTTTTTGCCATCGAAACCCTAAAAGATTTGTTTGCACGTATCGGCGCTGTGGCTTAGTTGGTTAAAGCGACTGTCTAGCAAACAGGAAATCCTAAATTCAACTTCAGTGCCTTTTGAAAATGGCTTATTCTTGTATTTTGTCTCATGGTCTGGAAGATACATTTTTGCTTTCGAGACTTAAAAGATTGTTTGCACGTATCGGCGCCTGTGGCTTAGTTGGTTAAAGCGCCTGTCTAGTAAACAGGAGATCCTGAGT